AGTTAGAACAGCAGGGTCATATGAATGCTGATACACAACTGGAAAATCTATAAAGCCATCATTTTGGCTTTTTAATAAACGTCTAGTCTTTTGTAATATTTCAAAATGAAAAGTAATGTATTTATGAATTTCCTGGCACGTTCTGCGGACAGCAAACAATTTCCTATGCTGCCTTGATGCCCTTCGGACAGGGATTAGAAGGCAGGCGACTGACGGAGGCCTGACTGAGCTGCAGGCCCTCTGGGGCCCTACTCATCCAAGCCTGCACAGTCCTCATCCTCATATCCACTCTGCATCACCAGGGCAATAACAGCCTTTATTAAAAGCGCATTGCAGCAGTGTCTGTCTATACAACTTACTTTCAGATTGGCCATAATGTGGCATGTAGAAAGGGTCTGGTGGTTAGGGGCTACAATATCCTGTTTCTGGAAAGGTTTACTTTGCATTTTAACAAGCATGAATAAAGGAGGACATTCCAGAAATGGCTACCGTCTGTTTGTGCTTGCCTGTGGGGAGCAAAAGCTCAGACTATGGCCCTTGCATGCCATCAGAGCTTGGCCTGGCTCACCTCTGATTTTACCTGGCTTTAACAGCTTTAGCTTAGCCACTGGACATGCAGATAGCTAAAGTACAATAGCAGGGGAGAGTAAAGCCCTGTTAATATGTTGGAAGAAAGTGGTTAGAAGTAGAGGATGAGACAAAAAGATGCAGTCAAGTCAATATAATGCACATCAGATATTTAGTATAGTCATTTTGGAAGAATGGATGTCGACACATCCTGACATCACTGAATTTCAATATGAGCTCCAAGGTGTTGTGCGAACCCTAAAATATGAGTGACGTTTTTCTATTTGCTTTATTAGTGCATTTTTCCATATCACAACCCATTTTCCAGCTTTTTTAAACCGTCTCAAGAATTATGCATGAGGCAGAGAGGGAGAGGGGAGGCATGTGGGGAGGTAAGAGAAATGCCTCTGTTGTCAGGATTGGCCTTACTATTAGGTGTGTGACCCTGAAAACGCACCCCTTTTAGCGAAACAAGCAATGGATCTCATGTTGGATAGCACGATTATGCAGTCATTTGTATGCATCCTTTCGTCTCATTTCCATTTAATAATGCACACAGCTTCCCTGCCCAGTTTCTCAAACTGGTCATTAAAAGTAACGCTGATCTTAACTGGAGGCTTAAGTTCCACTTACAAGCTCTCATGGTGTGGTGGATGAAACAACTGCAGACTCAAAATAAGATAACCCCTCCCAAAGCCAGTCTTCGCCCTTGAATACCCAGGCCTATGTCTACACAGACGGGAGACAATGACTGGTGGCTGCCCAGGCGGCCCCAGCCTTCTCCTTCCCAGCCTCCTAGACTCACAGACAGGGATTTCCTCCTGCGATGAGAGCCAAGCCGTCACAGCCCAGCGATCAAGGGCCTGCCATCTGTGACTGAGGCAGATTTACAGCAGGAGCTAATCCACACTGTCAGCCACGTTTGTTCTCCATCTCTGCCTCCTCCACACACATATAAACACAAAAGTACGCCACCACTAAAAAATACTAATATTTTTCCCTTATAAAATGTTCTCTCCTGCATCTTTCTCTTTCTCTTCCTCTCTTACACACAACAAAGCAAATTTCTTGCAGAAGGGCATCCACCCTTCAGTGCAATTTTACTTTGCCCTTTTTAAAAGGCATGATCTCATTCTGTTCTATGCTCAAAAAATAACTTTAGTCGATCAAATGCTAAGAAATGAGAAACCTCAATGTGTCATTGAGTTATATGCCCTGGTGAACATCATTCATATGAAATAGGGTCATCATACGCTCAAGTGTCACACTAGCTCTCACACGCAAGTGCCCCAAACTCATTCCCCCACTTCTTTTGCATCCATTTTCTCTTATTTGCCACATATTGGTCTCTCTCATACACAGACACCCCGATGCTTTACGTTGTCAGCAGTCACCATTAACCCCTACACTTGACATTAAAATGACACTAGGTTTTACCTTTTCTCTGTAACCACTAAGCCTAAAATATATTTTGTCCTCATGCTGTCAGACCAACTGTCCTCACAGGTGACTGCTTTATGGGAGTTTTAACTTCCCTCTCACCTGGTCTGTCATATACATGTCTCCCTTTCTATTTTTTGTGTCTACCTGCCACCAGGTAATGACCTGCTATCCTTAAAACTAGAGGCTAGCACTGGTGCACAGTGCATTGGTTCAAGTCAGTGCTGAGTTTTATTCAGTGATTTCTGCACACTGGGCAGCTGTGTGGGGCTGCGGTCCCTCTGAGACCCCCTTTGTTTCCCCACAGATAAAGGGTTAAAGAAGACACATAGAGGCAGGGCCACAGAGTAACATGCCTAAGCAGCACATTTTCAGTATGAGCAAGAATTAAAACAATGCATGCCTTTTATTCCTGTGTTATAGTCTAATTGGAAAGAAACCTAATTTCTGCTGCCCTTGCTCTCCTCGGACACCTAGCCCAGAGGAGATATGTGGCACCAAATCCCTACAGTCTGTTAGCATCCTCATAGGGACCATTAATGTGCAAAGTTGTTAAGTGTAAAACACACCAGATCATGCATGAACTAGCCTAACTTCATTCCATTGCTGTCATAGAAAGGTATCAGTTGACGAAAAAGATCACGACTCAAAGACATTATTGTATTAAATGCGCATGTGTTTGATGACAGTCGTGAGCTTTTCGAGGAAAAAGCCGGCTTCATATGTTTTGGAAAAAAATTCCAGGCAGGCTACAAGCCCAGCACCAAGCGCCAGCAGAGAACCACTCACAGGATCATAGAACAGCAGCAGGCGGGGGAATTACTGTCTAGGTGACCCAGAAATCCAGGGGCAACTTTGTTTTAACAAGCCAGGGAACGTTCCACCACTTTAGCAACTATGTCTCAACCACAAAAAAGAACCCTGTGCCACAGAAGAGCTAGCGAAGAGGAAATTAAATATTACACTAGGAGGGAATGGTTCAGCCCTAGCGGAGGGGTGGGGCTATGAGGTGGACCGGTGCAGCTGATGCTGTTGTAACAAGGCATTTGGGGTGTGAAATGGTAGATGAGAAGTGTAGAGTCAGCAATTTTAGAGTTAATGATTAAAGGCATGAGGTATGATGATTTTTTTTTAAAAATACAGTTAAAAAAGAAATAGAGGAAGCACTGGATTGAAATAATGACTAATATCAAAATAATAACAGGTCATAATCACTGATCTAATGTTTATTTGGTCTGTCTGCAGCTCATTGTAAAAGAGCAGAATTCATTTTCCCTATGAAAGCTTATAATTACTTTAAAAAAATACAGTAAAGTAATTAAGGGAAACATTAACACCAATCACAGCCATCAAGCCTCATCATCAAATCCCACTATCTAGACTGCAGACTACAAAGACATTAAATCTAAAGCACGTTGACAACTTAAGTTAAAATTCAATTCCTTCTACGCTTTGTTAGATACTAGTAGTCTGTTCAAGTAAGTGAGGTTTATTGTAATTTTATGAAGCTCTGCAGGGAAGTAACTGCTGTCTATGCATGTGTATGTGTGTGTGTGTGTGTATGTGTGTGTGCTTGTGTGTGTGTGTGTGTGTGTGTGTGTGTGTGTACGTGCAATGACACTGCCCACACACAGCTGCACCTCAGGGGCCCATTACCTAACCTAAGGCTCAGATCCCTCACCCTGGCACAAACATGGGCATCTCGCACACCAAAGATTAAAAGAGAGAAAAAAAAGAGATGGATAAACACAACAACTGCTAAAAACAACTGCACAAACAGCACAGCAACTCCTCCTGTCTGAACAAAATAAAGTAAATTCCCAACCCCCAACCCTTTTAACCTAAATGGCCCTTCCTCTTGCCTTTGCATGTTCGCTTGTCCACTGTACTGTAGTCATTAACATATTTGGAGTGCAGCGAGCAGAAAGCTTAATTGTCCCTAATTGCTCAGCTAAATATGTTCTCTAATGATTTGCTTCAGATCTGTGACTGCCTTTTGCGCAATTTCCCGGCCGCTGGCTTCATTATCCCTGCCTCCTTGGAACAAAGCGTCTTCACAGGCTGGCCTTTTTTTCCCCTGCATAACACAGACAGCGAGTATGTGTGCGAGGGAAGTAATGGTTCCCTCTTGGAGGGACACACAATAGAGCCCCTTTGTCAGGGCACAGGAGTTAAAGTGATTGGAAAGCCAAATCTCTGCTAAGAAAGAGTGTTAATTGACCACAGCTCACTCTTCCTAATCAGTCCATAATAAATGAGCGGTCGAAGCACTTTGTTTCAGTCATGCTACTGTTGTTGTAGCTGTTTTCTGTTTTTTGGTGTTCTTGTTGTTGTTGCAGCTGCTGCTGTTGTTCGGCTCCTCCTTCTCTGGCCTTAATGCTCTGTCTCAATATGTCTTTAATGGCTGAAAAGGACAGCTCCCATTAACTGGGACTTCTGCTTTTACTGGTGAAGGCAGGCTTTGCAGGAATAACTTGTAGAAATGATATGGACTTCAAATTAATCAAAAAACATAGTAATATCAAAAATACATTTGAAAAATAAAGTTACATTGTTGGAATCAAACTGAGGGACGTTTTTAAATGTATCTCTGAAAGACAACCCCTCTTCTCTGTTTAGTTAGAATTTCCATCAGCTATATCAATGTAAAAATCATACTACTCTTCCTACCTAAAAATAATAACTTAATAATAATTTTATTGTATTTCAATTATGGCTGTACCACTTCAATCAAATTTTCTTTTAACAAAACCGAAGAAAAGTAGTAGATTTTATGCATTAATGTTAATGCTAATTCGGTAGGCAGGTATCAGTACAAGAAATAAAGTGACAAATTTTGTCAACTCAGGCATAGAAAGTCTCTCAGCAGAGCAGATGCATGTGTGTTTATGTGTAAAAGAGAGGTCGATAGGAAGAGAGAGATCAAGAGAGTAAAAGAAAGACAGACACACATAAAGAGATACTAAAACATAGCCACAGGGGCAGGTTCTGACCTGTGTCTGAAGAAGGGCATTTGCGAATTGTGAAGATGGAGCTGAGGTCCTCTTCTTCCTCCGGCAGGCCCTTCTGCAAACGCTGAAGCTTCCTGAGGCTCTCGCTGCGCTGGTGCTTCATGGAACGCACATGCTGGATCAGGTTGAGCTTGGCCTTGGTCGAGTAGTTACACAGAACACAATGGTAGTAGCAGGCATCACCCTCCACCGCGTTTTCGTGCTGCTGCAGGTGCTGTGGGAGGGCATGGAGAGAGAGAGAGATAGAGAAAGAAAGGAACACAGAGAATGAGAGAGAAAGAGGTTATTGTAGATGGCAGATAGCTGGCTAGGCACCACCGACTCACTTTCGCTCAAACAGTTGGCAAATGAACAAATCAATTCCCAATCACAGCCCTGTTGTTTAACATCCAGACCTCTTCCACTTCAGGACAACTGTTTGGACTGCGCACTTTGTCTGCGTGAGTGTCTGTATCAGTGGGCTAACAGGACAGGAGAGGCCTGGGAGGCACGCAAATCTCAGGGGCCCAAGGGCAGGCAGGAATCGCATCAGCCACCCTTCAGAAGCTATGGGTCTACAAGCTCACAGACGGAAGGGAGCATTGATCCCCTTCACTCAACAGAAGCCTCCCGTCTCTGAAAAGGAAACTCCAAACATCTGCTTGTTTCACGCATGGGATACTAAATATTGATCATGGTGAGTTAAATCCTCGCTCTCTCATAGAGAAAGAGAGGCAAAGTCAGCCGGTGGTGAGGCAGGAGGGGGATTTAGTACATTCTGAGAGACACTGGAACATTCCACAACAGGAGGACAACCTTCAGAGGACAGGAAATCAGCACTCGCATTGACCTGTCAACCCCAGAACTTCCTTCAAGACTCAACAGTGGGCCTAGTTCAGCCTTTAGCCCACCCTCCGTAGTGTCACAACATGCCTAACACCCTGTAGTGACACCATACCACCACAACCTCTTGTCACACCGCAGACCTCCAGTCTAATTACCTCCTGCTTGGCTCAATCAATGATGCAAGGCCAACACAATATGGCTGGGCCTGGTGTGAGCAACAGAGTTATTGACCACCATCCTAAAGCATCACACGGATTGTTTCTGCATGTTTACAATGAAAGCCCCAGACTCGGTATGGCCACTTGTGTCAAGCCTGTCATGTGCCGCTCCTAATATCAAACTCTGGAGTCTCACTGTGGATTTCTGTGGCTGCAATCAATGTCAATCACCAAAAGTTTTCCTCTTTTTACTCTAATCTCCTTGGCCCCCGTGTCTCCTGTGAGGCATGCTCAGAGAACAAAAAAAATATGGTAATACTGCAATAGTTCTAATATCATATTATATTAGTTAACATAATTTGAAAATTATTATTATTATTATTATTATTATTATTATTATTACCTAACCAGGGAAAATGCACTGATGAATATTAATCTGCAGTAAGACGAAGCTAATGAAATCATTAACTGTGCTGAAAACTAGTAATTAAAGCTGGGTCTACTAACTATTTTCAGTTTTATTACCAATTCTGCATTTAAAGACCATACACCTCCCTGTGTTCTTTTACATTGTACATCAGGCTTACACTTAGATAGCAGTTCAGAAAACTGAACCGTTTATGAATTAGACATTGAACTGTCCTGTCTTGCATTGTATAGCCTGTTTAGCTGGCCGGAAAATGTAAAAGCAATGGAACCATTAGACATTTAACCACATTACATCTAAATCAGGTGTTGACAGGCTGGTGAAAAAAAGTCATAACAATATTATGCCTCCCTAAAATGCTCTTGTCCCTTTCTCCTAATGTTTAATTTTCTGGCAATATTGTAATATTGCTATGGGGTTTTCTGAGCTATTGTGTTTCATTCTCTTTGGTTTCATATTTCTCACTTCTACACCTAAAATGTGCATTAAGACACCGCTTCCAGGAAAAGGAATAGGAGTTTTTTTTCCCCCTCCTTTTTGTGAGCCCCACAGCTCGGTGTAATAGAGTTATTAGGTGATTGTAAAAGGCTCTGTGTCTCTGTGTGCTCTCCTTTCTCGCCTCATTTTAAGCCATCCATGATGTCATGAATAGGTGTTGCTGGATATTGTGGGAGCCCTCCTCCTTTTCCTCTGTGCACAAATATTGCATCAGAACTAAGGTAGAGAGAAACATAAGAGACAGATTCAGTTATAGATAACACAAAATCCATCATGCAAACTGCTTTTAGTCAGAGCAGATGTCTTGAATTTAAAAAAAAGGGGGAAAAAAAGGAGTTCTTGCCGCAAATGACTCAAGGATCCAAAAATCTACAAGAAGACAAGTTTAAAAAAATGACAGCACCTGACCTAAACTTCAAAGCTAGTCTCAGGAGGTAGAAAAAAAAATCCTGGGAGTTTTATAGTTTCCCATAAAAAGCACAGGGTTTATATAGGAGTGAACCTGAGACCGCCTGCCCCAGAATCGGCCATAATTCACTATAAACCTGACTAGCCAGGAAGATGGCCTCAACAGGGCCAAAACTGGCCTGCCCCAGTGCTTGTAGCTCTGTCTACAATGTCAAATGGTTACACCTGTAAACCACCACTTTCACCATCTCTGCACTAGCCATGACCCAAGGCAGTCTGGGGCATTTTAGAGTCAGTGAGCGAGGTAAAAGATCAAACCAATGAGTGATCAGTGAGGTGGCCCCCTGCTCTTTCAGTATTCCAGGGAGGAGAACAGCATAGCCTGGCCCATGAGAACGAAACCCCACTGATCATCACACGCAGTGACTTTCTCAAACATGGATTCTCACTGGATTCCGTAGCAATTATCCATGTGAGAGACTCCTAGGATCATATCTGAGAGCCCAAACACTGTATGGACACAGTACACTCCATCACCCTCTCTGGTTCACACACTCACACACACACATACACACACACACGTTGAATGTGAAACATAATAATGCATGAGACACGGCCTATGTCTGTTTCCTATGAACCTGCAATGAAGCCCCTAGTTGATAAATCACCTACAACTGGAGTGCAGGAATTTGGCGGCTTAATGAAAAAGTCATGTTGAGCTGGGAGGAGTTGTAGGCATGGCTCTGGGGTTTTTAAGCGCCCTATCGAGGCCCCAACAGGAGAGGAGCTGTGGAGCATAATGGGGGGAAGCTGGCTTGGCCAGTGGCATGGATTCAATATCACTGAACTGTCTGGGAATTTACAGCAGTCATATAGATTTAGCTGAGCAAGTACAAATGTGTGACGGCCTAGAAGGCAGTGATGTACTCAATAGTGCATGGGAGACATGTTATGTGCATATGAATGTACTTTATGTGTGGTCTGATTTAACAGATAAGATCACAAAGATATATTGATTGTGGGTGCCTTAAAGGCATCTTGAAATACTTTTGTCACATTGTGAGTTGTATTGCAGTGTTTTAAAAGAAAGATGCAAGTCCTTTGAAATCCACTATTGTAAAATCTGAGGCAGGTTAAATGGCCTGAAATGATAATGAACTACCTTTAAAAGATGTGTACATTTAACACGATAGATCACATTCAGTTTGGTTTTTCCACTTAAAGGTGCGGTTCCAAGCTTTTTTATACTGTGGTGGTTTTCATGGTTTAAAAATGCAATCACGGATTTTCAAGCCTCTCTCTTCCATGGAGCACCTTGTCTCTTTCTGTGGAGGCTGAAGCAGTGCTCTGTGCTTTTTCAGGTAAAGAGGGACAGGGGCGGTGTGGGCACCACCCCATCCTCTCTCTCATAACTCTACAGTGCACCTTGCCCTCTGAGTGGGCAATACATGCCTGTATCAGTTTCACCACCCACCCAGAGCACTGCATACATCTGCATTTCCATCCACTTAAATGCAAAGTAAAAGTGCACCTTTAACACAAAACAGTGTGGTTGCTGAGAGAGCCCAACTAACACAAGATAGAGGTGGGTATTACTGGAAGGGTGGAAGAGAGAAAGGGAGCCGGTAATTCCAAAGAATGGCTCCCAATGGAGCCGTATAATACAGCATGTACACGCAACAAACACATACAAAAGTATAGACAAAAAGAACATCAGAAATGTACACACATAAACATGCACACATGCACATACAGACTCATACACGCAGCCACATACCATTATGATCACACCCTAATTTCCACCATTAAATTTGGCAGTGCTGTTAATACAAAATTAATGCATTAAAACAGATGACTATCTGTGAGCTAAATAGCTATCAATTCTAAGAGAGCTGCCAAATTCCCTCTGTGAGAGAGCCAGTGAGCATCTGCCTGGATATTGCTTTGTAACTGTCTCCCTGATTCTCGGCACTAAAAGCTGGTGTCTCTGTGTGTGTATGTGTGTCTTCATGGGAGGCTTACACAGGTTAGATAACTGCAATTTACACCTGGCGCCATGCAATGCACTGCAACAGAGCAGACTGGTCTATGTATTTGAATGAAAAAATTGTATCCTCTATAATCACAGTGGTAGAGTCAGGTTTTCTCTATCACCTGAGAATAAAATGTACAAAATAGTTCTGAGCTTGAGACGTGTTACAATAAGTCAACCAGGACCTTTGGTATTCAAACATAGTGATGTCATGACAGCAACTATAACAAATGAGGTAACTGTATTTCATTCTGAAGGGAGACAATGTAATATGCCTGTCGGGCTGAAAAACACACCCTGGCCAAAGGGAGAAGAAAACAATCTTGTGCGTCTCACTGTGTGACAACTGTGGCCATCGTATGCATGTACCGTAGAGTATATGTTGCTATCTTGTTGTATCAAATTGCTCCCAAAAGAGAACATCTGAAAAGTTAGGTGCCCGGAGGCTGCCTAATTCTGGGGATTATAAATCAGAATTAAGTTAAATTCAAAAACATTATTTCAATGATGAGGATTAAGTTTGGGGTTAGGGTCTACAGAATGAAAATAATTTAATGTAATGACCCCTTCGTTCCCAGCAGCAGTGTATTTGTGCATGTGCAGAGATTTGTTGGGGACTTGATTCTCATAAATCTGCACTCTGGGATTCCCCTGGAACGTAAGCAGGTTATTTAGGAAAGCACAGTAGAGTGAATGAAGTCAGTGAGTGCTTGCAGCTTGGCCTCTGATTCCCTGTCTGCCAGCAGCACGAACAACAGCTCCAACCACAGAGGCCCCACTGGGTGCCAAATGCGGTGGCTGCTTTGAATTAGCCACTGCAAGCTGCAACATGCCTAAAAGTTAGGTTGTGGCTTAAGGGGACTGTG